ATATATGTCGGAGACACTTGGTGGACATGGGAATTAGTTTACTATGTTGTCTCCATCGAAATAATACACGGGTGACGTGACACTATTTATTACAAATACGGGAGCTGGTATACAAGTTGTAAAATAGGAACTAACGGTCCGCCACTGTCAGCCCTAGCAACCTGTTCACTACTTTTCTATCAAAACAATAATAACAGTAATAATAATAATAATAATAGTAAAAGCCACACGGCTATGGTTGTTTCATCAATTGAATGATCCAGTTGCTTCCCCGGCTTTAAGTTTTGTTCCGTTCACGGGGGCGGTACCCAGTGCATTCCTTTAACCTATCAGTTTACTTTTTACCAAACATGACCATATTAGGAAGTGTTTACAAAAGTTAGATAATGATGGTCTATCACACACAGGCTAAACTTAACCCTGAAGACATAACAATTTGGTACTCTAATATTTCTGTAACATAAACAAAAACAAGCTCTCAACATTCCATCGACGACGACAGTTCTTCGAGTGGCTACGAATTCATAAGCGGTTACAAGGGTGATGCCGACATATATTACANGGGTTTTCTGTGTTCCAAGAGCGATAATTTTGGGAGTTTACGTACCCACTTAAATGAAACCATGCTTCATCAGAAAAAGATCTAGAATATCGTCGTCATTCAGATTTTCGTTAAACCAATTACAGTATTGCACAAGTTTTCCAAAATCTAACGGAAGTAGTTCCTGCACGACACTAACTTTATAAGGATGAAAATGCAACTTCCTTAAGTACTGCTTTATGGCATGATCCATATGATAGATTTTCTGCCTGGAGATTTTCCTCTACAAACACTTCCACTGTTATGGAAGCGTTCCACTAATCTCTTCACGTCTCGAAAAAATTTCATAATCAATTTCATTATTTGGAAATTGTTCTTGAAATTGTAAATGACATGAATTCATCGAATATTTTCAACCATTATCACTGTTTTGTCCACTACGAAAATAGGCCTTCAGGAGAAATTTATAATGTTCTAATGAAAATGCCATGCCATGTTCTTCTAAAATTAAAAAACCGATTAAGTTAGGCAACAACATACGCAATTAAATTAATTACTCACGTCTCACGTATAATATCCACCTTCTCTAACTGTAGTATTTTAAAATATTGTTTTATAATGTTGCAAAATATATCGGGTAACAACAAAATCTATAAAATAATATCCAAGCCAAAAATCCGTACGCCAATGAACACAATGTCAAATTGTGAAATGGCCACAGAACACCCTGAAATCGCACAATTGACATTGAAAAAGAAAGTAATTTTAGCAAACGGAAATCAGTTTTGATAGCAATTGAGAGAGGGTACGTTCAGAATCCAGTCAGTCATTCTCGATCTCTCTGTATTACCCTCATACATTTGTTTTTAGTGACAAAAAGACTCGGACTCCTCTGCAGATGTTTACTACATCCTTTTTCCCTGCTGCCGAGGGAGGTGTCTGGTTAAATCTGCAAAGACTCAAATTTTTTTTTCCAAACAAAGAGCTGTATCATAGTCTTAATCATAGGTACTGTTCCTTGTATATTCAGACATTCTAACCGCAATGAAACTGTTACTATTTAAATGTTGCCATCGCTTCTTGGATACCATCATGAGAAAACTTTTGATTAGGGTATTTTAAGTTTAATTCATTAATTCTCGCTCCCGTGTCATCGCCAAAACAGAAAACGCTCTTTGATTTTTCCTACATCAGCCCCAGATCATCACCAGTGACCAAAGGGTAAGGTTCGAAGGAAAATGTTTCCAAATTCCGTTATTAGTCTATAGTCCACTATTTTTTTTATTATTTTCAAGTATTGTGTTTGATCTTTAGTGATTCTTTTTGCATCTTTTAAAGGTAAATCTAAGCATCCAAAAAGAATAAACGAATAACGAGTTTTCCGTACAAATTTCTTCAGATCTTGGCGGAAGCAATCCCAAAGACACAAATATTTTTTAAAAAGGGCCATGTTGACCCCGTCTCTACGACACTGCTGCTCATAAAATTTTGAGCAGTACATCAAACATTGGCCTTAAGGTGGTAACTATGCATAGCAAATTTGAAATAGAAATGTACAGGCATTTTGGAATTATTTCAGACAATGTTTAATTTTACAGAAACTTCGACGCCCTGTATGTTGTTAAGGAGGCGACCCTATGATTATTAAGACTTTTCGTCTTAATTTTTCATGTATTACGTACCCTAGAAGTCTGTCAGCGGTTTTTTTAATCACCCTGTATAAGTAAAATACACTATAATCCAGGGAATGAAGAGAAAAATAGGGTAAAACCTCCGAATACTTTCGGATAGATCCGATTTTTATGAAAATTTGGAATTAAGCTTATTTCACCCTGTAGATGAAAAGTTATATATGCTTGATATGCGTTTATTATTTTTAGCTGATGAAAACTACCCCTTATGCTAAAAAACTGAATAAATATAAAAATATGTGAAAAAAAAAACAAAAATCATATCTTAATAGATAGAATAAATATTGTTTTATATTGTGGGTAATAATTTACGTTATTTTTATGAAGTTTCAACCCTTAAAAACCACCTTTAACGATAAAAATATAAAATTAATAGTTTCTTTGACCTTAAAATATTTTTGTAGCGCATATATCATAAATAGAAATCTTTTCAATAGTTTTTGGTATTATAAATAATTTATTACAATATTTCAACCCTTAAAAAACTACCCCTAATAACAAAATATAAAAAAAAGTTTTTAACAGTTTGAAATGATTTGATAGTACAAACAGGATAAATTAAGTTCTTTGACCTGTCTATAATACAATTTATAATTTATGGCATTGTTTTAACCTTAAAAAACTACCCCCAATGACAAAATATGGCTTTTAAATTATTGAAAATGAATAATAATTTGTTTTTTCGTAATAATTTACTTTAATTTATACTTACAATATTTAAAATAATTATTTCTTAATATTTTTTTCATGCAGAAAGTCATAAAGTTGTGGATAACCAAAATATTGATATGCTCCAAAAATGGAAGTCGATTTTTTAACCATAACTTCCTTAATTAATTTTAAAGCTATTAAGACGATTCAAAAACGATTTTACGGAAGATTTCGACAGCTAAAAGTACTATAAAATTGAATATTTTTAAATCGTAATTTTTTTATTATTAAGGTTAAAGGATTTGAAAAACATGACCTTCGCCCTCAACTGCAAACCTCTAGCAGCGACATCTCTGTTAATTTTTATCCTACACAAATAAAAACCCAAAATATTCTGTGAAAAAAAATCTAAACTTTTGTTCTCTTGAATATTTTTCGTATCTTATTTACTTTTAAAGTTATTTTCAAAAATATGTTATTTTTTTTGGAATTAAATTTTTTTTCAACCAAAACGTAATATTTTCAAAAATATACATTCTAAACGGCTTAAACTTGTATAATATATTGTTAGCACATGAATGTAAATTGTAGAATGGTTACCTTTAATTTAAAATCTCGTGAAAAATTCATGAGCTTTTGTACAGATTTTTTTCCGAAAAAGCGAATTAACAGCGATTGTGGAAGATCTTCGGGATCGTCCAGACTAATAAATTAGTTAATTTGTTTATAAGGCCATAACTTGTAAACTATTCCACTTACCGATTCCAGATTTCGTGTGAGTTAGTAGACAGTGATAAGGAATGAGAGGATGGGATGCCAACACGTT